TGAATACATAACAATCTCATCGAGCCCTGGGGAGCTAAATGCTAATTACTTGCAAAAATCTGCAGACATATCTACCTAGCTGCCTACTTAACTACTTCTACCTGAATATCTGTTACACATCAAACAGTTAATGGATCAGAAAGAACCCTTTATTTTCACCACAAAATCTGCTCCCTCTGTCTTCTGATGTCACTTAAGGAGAATAGAATGTACCCTCCGACTTGTACCCAAAAGGAGAGCTGCCTTCATCTCATTTAGTCATCTTTACATCAAGTCTTCATCAAGTTGAAGTAAACCTATACTCATAATTCAGAAATGGAATTTGGTAATATTTTATCTTTTCTATCCCTACCACCCCAATCCAAGTAAACATTATCTCCTGTCTGAAAATTTTTAATAACTGTTAAGGGATGCTCCATTTTATTCCTTCATTTTTCAAAAAGCATCAAGAGTGATCTTTTAAATGCATTGGAATGAAATGCTGGAACTCAATTACTCCAACTATTTTTTCTATTAATAAAATCATGTTGAGAACAATATCACTCAGCATTGATGTTAATCGGTATTGGTTTCAATTTGATTCTTGGGAACCAATGTCAAGTGTACAGGGTATAATTATTCTGTGAGATTTTCAAGGCTGTCGCCATCCAGGGGCAGATTGATACACTTAGATTTTGCAATTTGAGTAGTTTTAAACTGTTCTACTTTTGCTAATGATTGACTATTTTGCTGTGAGTATAATCAATATTTCAACATTAAACTTAAAAAGTGTATCTTAGTTGATATTTTATTTTCCAATATTACTTTTTCCCTTTTCTTTTTGAAAATACAATGCCATCATGGATAATGGTAATGTTCTTAGTTATTATTTAGTTGGTGTTTACTCATAGTGATCCTTTATAAAGTAGAAGAAAAAATTGCAAAGTCCTACAATATTCTCACAGTTGTGGTTATATTTTCATCCATTATTTTAGCCAACTCGTCAATCTACTTCCTTGAAGGTCTTCCTCTTTTTAGCTCTTAAGATACGTTACTAAGTATGATGCCCTGTCCCAGGTATTGATGTCTCATGATTACATGTTCAAAGTAATTTATGAGGCATGATGCCCTTTTCCAGGCATTATTTTCTCATAATTATATGTCCAAAATATGTGATACTAAGTTTAGCTCTTTACTTCTAATTAGTATTCTGACTAAATCTACTCCAAGACTGATTTGTTTATCCAGATAATGGTAGTTTGTGCTTTTGTTCAACCATAGTGAGGAAATATTGGGCATTTCAGCATGTAAAAGACATAGTTCAAAAATAGGTCATTTACAATTAACTTTACTCTAAGGGTATATTGTACACTGCAAGTTCTACAAAAATTATATCCTTAATTTTCATATTGAAATTATTTTCTTGTATGTCTTGAAACATTACAGAGGGAAATTCTCTGGCACAGAACTTCTTTAATGTGTTGAAAATTGAGGAGGTTTATTCACCAACTATATTCACCCTGACCTAAGCCATAGCATTTTCAATCGCCTTATCTGCATGTCAAAGTTGGACATTCAATGAAAAGAACAAAGAAGAATTGATACATTTGAATTATGGGGTTGTCAAAGAATATGAATGTATCACACACTCCCAGAAGGAAAAGTAAATCTCTCTTGGAAGAAGGACAGCCAGAGTGCTCCTTAGAGTCAAGGGTGGTGAGACTTCATCTCAAATACTTGGACATGTTGTCAGGAGAGATCAATCTCTGCAGAAGGACATCATGCTTAGTGAAGTAGAGCAGAAACAAAAGAGTGTAAGGCCCTGGACAAAAATAGATTGATGCAGAGGCTCTAACAATGGGTTCAAACACAAAAACCATTTCTGAGGATGGTGTAGGATCGGGAGTGTTTTGTTCTGTTGTAGGTCATGTCACTATGAGTCATACTAACAACATCCAACAACAACATTAACTTGTCTTGAAATTGTAATCAACCATTTTCTTGCTATCTTTTTTTTAAGGTGGGCCCTTTTTGAAGGACTACATAAGCATCCAAAGTATTGCAGTTTCTTCTATGATTACACTCTATTTTACTGACCTCGGTCAACAAATCAGTTGGACAACAGTAAGTATTCATTTGAAATGTAATGCATAGAAGTACCATATATACTCGTGCATAAGCTGTTTTTCAGCACATTTTTAATGTAGTTTTATTGGTAAAATTAGGTGCCTGAGCTGATATTTGGGTCAGCTTATACTCGAGTATACATGGTAAGTCAAAACTATTTGTTCAAACTCATAGTATTCTTTTTCTTAAGCAAAAACATCAACTGAAGTCATCTTCACATCAAGTTTTCAGAAATAATTCAGAAAT